ATTCTCCACAACAAGAGGGTGGTGCTATGGGCCCCCCCATGCTGCTCCCGGAGCCGGGAAGGGGCTCAGGTTGGGGCTGGAGGGGGGGTTACAGGGGGTATTGCCCACCTTGGAGCTGCACAGCTGCACGGGGGTCCTGGTGTGGGGGATGCAGAGAGGTGGTCACCCCGACTGGGTGACAAGGGGGGGTCCAGGTGGGGCTGGCACTGACTGGGATGTGCCATGGCTAGGGGCACCAACTCCACTCTTTAGGTGGACAGGGTGACACAGAGAGGGGACGTAGCATTGGGGGCATGCGCTTGGCTTTGGATGGGGCTCAGGGCCATCCTGGCCCAATGGCTGTCCCACCCCCAGAGAGGTGGTCACCCCGACTGGGTGACAAGGGGGGGTCCAGGTGGGGCTGGCACTGACTGGGATGTGCCATGGCTAGGGGCACCAACTCCACTCTTTAGGTGGACAGGGTGACACAGAGAGGGGACGTAGCATTGGGGGCATGCGCTTGGCTTTGGATGGGGCTCAGGGCCATCCTGGCCCAATGGCTGTCCCACCCCCAGCGCCGATGATTGCTTTGGCGGCTCGATGGAGACCAACGCGGTGCTACTTTCCGATGGGCACATCATGTGGGACTCACCCGCCATCACCAAGAGCTCCTGCAAGGTGGATGTCTCCTACTTCCCCTTCGATGGGCAGCTGTGCCACCTCCTCTTTCTTTGGCTCCTGGGCCTACAATGGGAACCAGATCGACCTCTGCAACAGATTGGACACCGGGGACCTGACGGACTTTGTGAAGAATGTGGAGTGGGAGCTGCTGGGCATGCCGGCCACAAGGAATGTCATGACCTACAGCTGCTGCTCTGAGCCCTACCCTGATGTCACCTACACCTTGGTCCTTTACTGCCATGCCTCCTTCTGCATTTTCAACCTACTCCTGCTCTGCATCATGGTCTCCTTCTTGGCACCCCTCGGCTTCTACCTGCCAGCTGACTCAGGGGAGAAGGCCTCCCTGGGGATGACGATGCTGCTGGCCCCCACCGTCTTCCAGCTGCTGGTGGCAGCGAGACTATCACCCCACCCTCGGAGAGCGTCCCGCTCATCGGTGAGCCTCAACAGCACCCAGGACCATCCTATGGGACTGACGCACTTGTGCTGGGGTGATGGGCAGCACCCATCCTGGGGGCCCACGGAGTGGGGATGGGAACGCAGGTCTCTGCCCCCTCCACCACGGCATCACCACCCATTGCCCACACAGGGAAGTACTACATTGCCACCATGACCATGATCACGGTCTCCACGGCAGTGACCATCTTCATCATGAACATCCACCACTGTGGCCCAGGGGCCCGACCTGTCCCTCCCTGGGCCAGGCGGCTCATCCTGCACCACATGGCCCTGCTCTGCTGTGTCTATGAGGTGGGCGAGAGCTGCAAGAGTCCCCAGCAGGTGCCAGACAGGCGGGGGGGCAGAGGGGGGGCCGGTGGGCCAGGGGAGAAGGGGAAGTGGGAACCGAGGCGAGGTGCTGCCCCCAAAACTGCTGCCTGTGCCACTACGATGGCCTGTTGAGATGTTAGCTACATCGCCGGCTGCTTCTGGTGCCACCGAGCCAACCAGCGCCGGACCAATGAGTGGAGGAAGGTGGCCAAGGTGATGTACCGCTTCTTTACGTGAATCTTCTCCCTCATGGTCTTCCTCATGAGTGTGCTGGTCCTGGGCAAAGCTGCTTGATGGCCCAGTGGGTGCACTGCCGTGACACAACCCCTGCCCAATACCTCTCCAGGGACAGTGGTGACCACGGGTGCCCCATGAGGATGGCTTGTCCTGAGCAGCCACCATGCTCCATGAAGCTGCAGGAGGAACTGTAGGAGCTCTGCCGGTACCAGGGGGAGAGGAGCTCGACAGTGATGCCACCACTGACTGTGCCAGGACCCCTGCCCCTGTGTGCCTATTGCACTCTGCACCTGAAAAGTCCAACAAACCAGAAATAAGCCCTGGAACATGTGTCCTCTCTCTCCTGCCTGGGTTCTGGGGGAGGATCCCAGGGCCTCACTGCCCAGGCAAGGGCCGAGAGTGTATGCAAGATGGACAGCAAAGAGGCATGGGACCCTCGGAGACCCTTTCTCTCTGGGGCCATGCCTGGTCCTCGCAGCCCCATCTGCATCTCCACAGTGGAGGGAGGGCGGGGCAGAGCCTTTCCCCATGGGGATGAGTAAGTACATACGGATGTATAGAGACACAGGTACATGTAGACAGATGCACGCACGTACCACAGTGTGGGCACCCCTGGCTGGCAGGGCCCTGCTCCCCGAGCCCTCCTAGTCCCCTGATTACTGGTGCAGCTTGAGGGTCTCACATCACCCCAAAACTGCCCATGAAACCTTGCATTATCCTGAGCTGTGGCCATCCTCAGGATGTGGTGGGGCACCAGGCGGGGGTGGGGGAAGGAAGAACAGCTCTGCACTACTGCAGGGTTCAGCTCCATGGGCAGGCACCCCCTGTACCCCACACCTGTGCCCCTGCACCCTTTGGTTTTGGGGAATTTGAGGGCTCAGCCTTACCAGCTGTGCTCAGGGACAGGACTGAGGACATGGTAGGGAAGGAGTCTCCAAGCCACCCCACAGCCTTGGGTTGCCTCTGCCTGGTGAGGCACCGGCTCTGTTAGGGTAGAGACAGGACCAGACTGCTGAGGCTGGAGGTACCCCTGGGCTCTGTCTGGCCCAAACCTGTCTGAGCTGGTGACCCACGACTGTGCCCAGATGGCAGCTGAGTGTGTTCAAAGATGGAGACTCACCAACTCCCTGGGCAATCTGTGCCAGGATTCAGGCACCCTCACAGTGAAAATATTTTCCTGATGTTCAGAGGGACCCTCGTGTGTGCCCATGGCCTCTGGTCCTGGCACTGGGCATCACTGGGAAGAGCCTGTCTGTGGAGAGCGCCAGGGCCTCCCCTCAGCCTCCTTTTCTCCAGATTAAACAACCCCAGCTCCCTCAGCTGCTCCTCATAAGATTTGTGCTTTAAACCCTTCACCAGCTTTGTTGCCCTTCTCTGGATAGACTCCAGACCCTCAAAGGGAGGTGTCTCGCTTGACTTGTTGTTTAAGGGTGCACAACTGGTGGGAGCTGTCGTGCTCGGAGGCTGGCTTGGTGACCATGAAATGATAACGTTCTCAATTCTTAGTGAAGTAAGGTGGGGGGTCAGCAAACCCACTATCTTGGATTTCCAGAGGGCAGACTTTGGCCTGTTCAGGACAGCAGTTGAGAAAATCCCTTAGGAGACAGCCCTGAAGGGCAGAGGGGTCCAGGAAGGATGGACTTGCTTTAAGAAGGAAGTCTTAAAGGCACAGGAGCAGGCTGTCCCCATGTGCCGGAAGACGAACTGTCGGGGAAGACGACCAGCTTGGCTGAGCAGGGAGCTTTTGCTGAAACTCAGGAAAAAAGGAGAGTTTATCACTTTTGGAAGAAGGGACAGGTAACAAAATAAGAGCACAGGGATCTTGTTAGGTTATGCACAGAAAAGCAAAAGCACAGCTCAAACTCAATCTGGCCACTGTCGTAAGAGATAACAAAAAATGTTTTTACAAATACGTTAACAAGAAAAAGAGAGCCAAGGAGAATCTCCATCCTTTAGTGCATGTGTCAGGAAACATTGCCACCAAGGATGAGGAAAAGGCTGAGGTACTCAATGCCTTCTTTGCCTCAGTCTTTAATAGGTCAGACCAGCTATCCTCAAGGTATTCAGCCCCCTGAACTGGAAGACAGGGACAGAGAGCAGAATAACCCCCCTCCCCGTAATGGAAGAGGAAGCAGTTAATGACCTGCTATGCCACCTGGACACCCACAAGTCTATGGGGCAGAATGGGATCCACCCGAGAGTACTAAGGGAGCTGGCAGAAGAGTTTGTGAAACCACTCTCCATCATTTATCAACAGTTCTGGTTAACTGGGGAGGTCCCAGATGACTGGAAGTTTGCCAATGTGACATCCATCTACAAGAAGGGTGTACTGGGTTTTCTGTGAGGGGTTTTTGGTTGTGTCTTTGGTAACGGGAGAAGGGTTATGGAGATGGACCTTTAAGAAGCTCCCAGAAAAGCTCCCCCTTTTCCTTTGTCAGACCCATCTCTGACCAGGGCCAAGCCAATCAGCGCCCCTGCGAATTCATGGATTTAAGGGGGGTGCAGGGCATGCCTCGTTCTCTCTCTGGCACCGGCCCTGACCTACGCGGCTCCAGGTGTGGGTGGCGCAGCCCCGGCCTTGCCCGGCTGGGCTTGGCCGGTCCCAATCGCAACTTAAGCTTAAGCCCCGCTGCAGCTCCATCCCAAAAAAAAGAGAGAGAGAGCCAGGATCTCCAGAACCATCAGAAGAGACCTGCAGCAGATAAAGGAGTGCGGCCTGAGGAGAACAGCTCTGAAGAACACCATGGGCAGACCCAGATTGGAGTTTTGT